GAGGAGGAGGGCGAGAGGGAGTGGGCGCAGGGGCATATGGGGGCGGAGCGCTCCCCGCCACCGGCCCGCCACGCACGGCTCAGTAGCTCACCTGCACCGCGCTGCCCGGCCCACACCCGGCGGGCACCTGGAAGCTGACGAGGCGGCCGTCCCCCGCCTGCACCTGGTAGGTCATCCCCGGGAAGGCGCCTGCAGGCAGGTACACCGTCGTCGTCTGGGCAGGCGGAGCCTGCTGCAAGTAGTACTGCGTGTACTGCACCGGCGCCGCGTAGGACTGCGGCACGTAGTGCTGCTGCAGGGGCGAGTACTGCGGGGCCGCGGCGTACTGTTGGTACGGAACCTGCGCGGAGTACTGCTGCATTGCGAGCCGAGGGCCGAGCAGCGGGTACCCTTCAAAGCCGCAGGATGGACAGCGAGAGAGCTCTGAGGCCCCTTGACTGGTGACTCTGTTGGTCCAAATTCGTTTGAGTCAAACCGACACTCGAACCAAAAGGCCATGGCATCCGGAGGATGATGATGACGACAATGGTACCGTAGTGGTGATGATTGTACTGCTGGGGATGCTAAGGCTGATGCTGATGATGATGCTGATGATGTTGAGTGTAATGGTGATGGCGATGGCGATGGTGAGGGTGAGGGTGATGGTGAATGTGATGGCGGTCGTGATAGTGATGATGATGCTGATGATGATGACGATGATGCTGATGATGCTGATGTTGCCTTGGCTGGTGATGTTGATGGTCATGTTGACGCTGCTGCTGATATTGATGATGATGATCTGCCACCGTGCCCCGAGGCACGAGTTGGAGTGTCCTCGGGTCCCTTCGAGTTCTGTGCACTGAGTTCTGTAAATCTGCTGATGAGTGGCACGCAGCCCTGGGCGCTCTCGGGGTGGGTCCCCGCCACAATGTCCGCGAGGCCAAGAGCGGTTTGTTCGGGACATGATGTCGAACATGGTTGCAGATGGCCCCAGGGACCGTCCTGGAACCCTCTTGGGCGCCTCTTGGGCAGTCTTGCTGAAGGCCCTGAAGGGCGGCCAAGGAGGCCCAAATCGTAAAAATCACATTGCTTCTGTATGGTTTCGCATTGCTGCATGTTCGGTCTTCAGAGCGTCCAAACAGGCCCAAGAGGCGCCCAAGATCGCCCCAAATGGGCCCAAGAGCCCTCAAGAGGGACCCACCAAGACGGGCCCAAGAGGGGCCCAAGATGGGGAACACAAACTGACATCTTGAGCCCTCCGCCCCAAGATGGCCCCAAGATCCCCCCAGAAGCCCCCCCGAGGTGCGCGCAAAAGGTCCAAGAGGCCCCTATGAGGCCCCCGTGAGGCCCACATCAGGCCCCAAGAGGCCCCCAAGACGCCCCAAGAAACCCCCACAACCGCCTCCAACAGGCATGCGAGAGGCCTCCCAAGAAATCCTCACAGGCATCCAGGAGGCCTCTGACCTACAACCCAGGCACGGTTGCGGGATGGGCCGAAGGCCACTGGATCCGCCGCCCCCTGTGCTTGTCACAGAGGTGCCCCGCGTGCTAGACCCTTTCGGTGTTGGTTTTGGTTCTTCTTCACTATCCCCTGGGGCTCCGGCCAGTCCCGCCGGCCAACTGGAAGGGACGGGAAACTGCACATGCCAATGCCTTTCACGCCCAAGATGGCCCAAAGTAAACTCCAAGATGCTTCCAAAACGGCCAAGATGGCCCAAGATGGCCTCCAAGTCCGGCTAAGATGGTCCAAGATGGCCTACAAGACGGCCCAACAGGGTCCAAAATGCCTCCAAGTCTGCATAGGAAGCCACCAAGACGGCCCAAGACTGCCCAAGAGGTGCCCAAGAGGCCTCCACACCAGCCCAAGAGGCCTCCGAGAGGTCCTCCAGGATGGCATGTGCTTCTATTCGGCCTACCGACGGCCCGAGACGGCCCGAGAGCCCCCAAAGATCGCCCCAAGATCACCCAAGAGGCCTCCAAGATGGCCCCAGAACGGCCCAAGAGGTCCCCAAGACGGCCCCAAGAGGGCCCAAAGACAGCCATGGAGCATTCCAAGAGGGCCCCGAGTCGGCCCAGAGAGGCCCCCAAGACGGCTTCCGACGGAGTCAGACGGGCCAGGAGCCCACCAAGACGGCCGAAGATGGCTCTAAGATGGCCCAAAACGACCCAAGAGGCCTCCAAGAGGGCCTCCAGAAAGGCCCGTAGAGGCCAAGTGATATTTCTTAGACTTTTGAAAAATGTTGGCATTTGCTTCTTTTCGGCCTACCGACGGCCCGAGACGGCCCAAGAACCCCCTAAAGATCGCCCCAAGATCGCCCAAGAGGCAACCAGAGTGGCCCCAGAACAGCCCAAGAGGCCCCCAAGACGACCCAAGACGACCCCAAGAGGGCCCCAAGTCGGCCCAGAGGGACCCCCAAGACGGCTTCCGACGGCGTCAGGCGGGCCAGGAGCCCACCAAGACGGCCAAAGAGGCCCCCGAGAAGCCCCCAAAGGCCCCCAAGAGGCCCAAGGAGGCCCCCAAGATGCCTCCAAGAGGCTTCCAGGAAGCTCCCAAGAACGCCCCAAGAGTGGCCCCAGAGGCTCCCAAGATGCCCCCTCCTCCTCCTACTCCTCCTCCTACTCCTCCTCCACCTCCTCCTCCGCCTCCTTCTGATCTTCCCCGCCATCCTCCCGCAGTGTTACCCGAAGGGTTTCTACAGCGGTTGGGGGAACACATGATTCGATAACTTGGCAGAGCTCTTGCCACAACGCTCGGCCACATGGGAGATTCTAGAAGGCAGGGGGGCCGCGGTGATTCGCCGTAGGCGTCTTCGATATTTCAAACGGTTTGCGCTGCAGCGGAAACGCAATTCTGTATGATGTAGGTGTGCGGCCAGCGCCGCGGTGAGAACGCTTTCCGTTCCCGTTGGGCGGAAGCCCCATGGGGCCTTAGGTGGAGCTCCCCATGGGGGAAGCGCGTGCAAGGGGTGTGCCAAAATGGGGTGGGGGCGGCATGCGGGCGCAACCGGGCCTTAGGTGGTGCTCCCGATGTGGTCACGAAACGTGTAAAAGGTGCGCAAGTGGGCTGGCGGCGGCATGCGGGCGAATCCACTGGGGCCTGCGGTGGAGCTCCCGATGGCCCACGAATAATGTAAATGGTGCGCCAAAGTGGGGTGGCGGCGGCATGCGGGCGCAACTGGGGCCTCAGGGTGAGCTCCCGATGGGGCCACGAAACGTGTGAGGGGAGCGCCAAAGTGGGGTGGCGGCGGCATGCGGGCGCAGCCACTGGGGCCTGCGGTGGAGCTCCCGATGGGCCACGAATAATGTGAATGGTGCGCCAAAGTGGGGTGGCGGCGGCATGCGGGCGCAACTGGGGCCTCAGGGTGAGCTCCCTATGGGGCCACGAAGCGTGTGAGGGGAGCGCCAAAGTGGGGTGGCGGCGGCATGCGGGCGCAGCCACTGGGGCCTTAGGCGGAGCTCCCTATGGGGCCACGAAGCGTGTGAGGGGTGTGCCGAAGTGGGCGTGCGGAGGGCAGAGGCAGGGACGGGAGGAGGAGGAGGGGGAGGAGATGGAAAGAGGAGGACGCGGGGCGCTGCTGATTCAAAACGAGGACACAACTAAACACGGGATGGTAGGGGAAAAACGAAATTGCTCGGGCGGCCCGCGATCACTTAGCATATGTGTGACTGTTGGCAAGGAAGACGGGGGTGCTGGCTCATTGCCCCATGTTTACAGGCCCACATTCCTTGGAAAACAAACGAAAAAAAAGGTCGGGATCTCCAGGGGCCGACGTCGCCAAACAACAAATGCGACGTCGGGGGAGACACGTTGCGACTCATGGGCCATCGGGCGCCGCGTGCTGTTGGGAGACTCGCCGCTCTGTCGGGCGGTCGGCACAAGACAGCATCAGGGGCGCAGCCAGGCAGCACGAGTCCTGGGCGATGAGTGGGCGACTTGGGGGTCGCTGCGTCCTCCCTGAGCCCGCCCCCCCCCCTGGCTCGATCATGCCTCCAGGAGCCCAGCGGATGGAACACACCACGACGCACACAGGCCTGCGGAGGGGCCGCCGGACGGCGGAGGCGGCGGTTGTCGCAACATCGGAGGCCTCCTCAATGGGGACCGAGTAACTGGGGTCGGAAGATCTCGCCGCACCGCCGGCACATCGGCGATGCACCGGCGACGTCGGCAATGCATCGGCGACGTCGGCGTGGGGGAAAGTGCGCCCCACGTCAAGCCGCATCGCCGATGTTTCGCCGATGCATCGCTGATGCGGCGCGATCCTCCGACCCCATCTACTCCGACCCCATCTAGGAGGCCCCGAAACATGGGCCCCCGGCGGTGGGGATCGCGGCCCCTTCCCCCGGTTACGCGCAGAAGAGTGGCCCTGGGCAGGAGTGGCCTTTGGTGCACGGTTTCCGGGGGGCCGCGGGGGAGCAGAATCTAAGCGTACCAGTGCTGAGAGGACCGGCACCGAAGGTCATCCTGGCGAAGGGTCACTCTCACGTGAAGTCGACTCTTCGGGGCCTGTCTTTCACCCGCAGTGGACTCTGACGGCCTGGGCGCAATGGGGACCGAAGGCGTCGAAAGACAGGACGTCGCGACGCCCAGATGGGACCAGGTTCGGGGAGTCAAAGACCTCCACCTGGACCTCATCTCCAGGGGTGCACTCTGGCACAAATTTCGAAGGGGATCCAGCCGCTGCGACCAAAAAGCACCCCAGAGGCCCAGAGCAGTTGCGCTGTCCCTTCCCAAGTGCCTGTCAAGGGGGGCTCGCCGCCTCGCGGTGGCCTCGCTGCAAGGCCGCGCGCGTTCCGAGGCCGAGCCACGCGCGAACCATGACCGCTACTTACGGCGGGCGCGCGCCCGAGAATGCCCCCCCCGAAAAGCACCCCAGAGGCCCACGAAGAGCCCAGAGAGTCTACACACGCACACACACACACACACACACACACACACACACACACGCTTCTAACGTCGAGGTTCGAACATCCACCCTTGATGCCCAGAGATGAGGGACGGAGCGGCGGCGGCGGCGAATGGCCCTCTTGAAGGCGTCCACTGCGAGCTTGTCTTCACCCAGAGCGCGGTGCCTCGGACGGAAGGGCCGCGCCGCGGACGGGCCGAGACTCTGCTGCGAGGCCGCCCGACCGGAAGCTGATTACGAAAGGGGGCCCTGACCCCGAACCGCTGGGGGCAACTCGGGGGCGCATTGACCCGGATCAGTCCAAGCCTGGGTCAGTCAGGCTTCGCAGGATCCTGCAGGATCCTGCACCAGAGCTCGCGTCAGTGCAGCCCTGGCTCTACAGGATCCTGCAAGATCTGGCGCTCTGAGTGACCCCCGCTTGCATTGACCCCCGTATCTTGAGCCCCGAGCACCGTCGCCCCCTGATATCCGGGCGTGGCGCAAAACATAAACATTAACAACAACAGTAACGTGACGACCGGTTTGTCTGGTTCGGCCCATGGGCGCCGTGCCGTCAAAGAACCGCTCGGGATGAAAAAAAGCGCCCCAGGGATAATGGACGAGGTCCTTATGGAGCCTACGCCACGAAAAAAGTGCGACGTCGGAGGAGAGGAGAACAGTACTCGTTGAGATCACTGGATCGGTATTCGTAGGATATTGGGCATTCGTCGGAGAAGAAGGGATCCGTATTCGTTGAGTTCGCTGGATCAGTGTTCGTCGAGATCGCTGGATCGGCGGTGTTCGTCAGAGGAGAGGGGATCAGTAATCGTAGGATATTGACCTGAGGTCGGTGGAGGCGGCCGCCCTCCTGAGTCTGCAGGAAGACGCTGGCCGGAGGCACCTGGACCTCCTCTCGGGCTTTTCGGGGGCGAGAGAACTGCGAGGGGAGAAACGTGGAAGCGTCGTGCTTATGTTGGGCCCCTGAAGTGCACAAAAAGTGCACCTTTCTTCACCCCCCCATTTATCGCCCTCACCCCCCCCATTACGCAACGCCCTGCTCCTCCTCCTCCTCCTCCTCCTCCTCCTCCTCCTCCTCCTCCTCTTCTGACACTTCTGGGACACCCTGCGTTGCCACGGCTGGACGCGACTCAGAGCAAGGGGCAGCATCGCGCCCAGGAGGAATCGTGGGACCTGTTTCGACGGGACTCGGCTCCGAGAAGAGCCCAGGGTCGTACCCGAAGGGCTCCAGGGACTTTTTCCAGCGGGTCCTCGCAAGGAGCCCAGGGCCACGGGGAGAGCGAGGTGCAGGCTCTCTCGGCGCTCCTGGAAGGGTGGCGAGGTCCTCGGCCGCCCCCCGTGGTGCACCAGAGCGGCGGCGGAACGCACGGCAGTGGCGGGCGAGGGCCTGGGAAGAGGCGGGGGCGGGGGCTCGGAGGCGGCAGCGAGGGCCCGAGGGCGATGCCCAGACCTCCTGCTCAAGGTGGATGTCGTTCGCAAGGCTCATCCCCCGGGGGCCGGTTTCGGGCTCCCCGGGCTGTCACTCCTGGTCCCCGGGTCGACGGAGAGCTCCATCACGGAGCCCCCAAACCGGGTGGTGACCACACCGTGCGGTGAGTCGGTGGGGATTCGGAGTCACCGCACGGTTTTGGGACTCGGGTCGTTCTCCGAGGACGTCTCGGGCGACAGGGGCCTCCGAGGTCCCAAAACCGTGCGTTGACGGACCGTGCGGTGAGGTCCTGAGGGATTTCGAGGTCACCGCACGGTCTGTCACCGCACCGTTTCGGGACTCCAAACTCCATCATGGAGCCGTCGATCAATCCCGTGACCCGCTCATTGAAAAAAGCCATGACACGAAAGGAACCGAGAGCGAAAATCGTCATGCGGGCCCCTCGGCTCCTGACCCAGAGGCGTGCTGAAGAATGGCGCGTCACGCCCCACAAGGAAGTCTGCCGAGGGATTTGGAGCGAGGCTAGCAGCGAGCACGCAGAAACGAGACGAAAGCCAAACGACGACAAGCTGGGAAAGGCACAACTACGTATGCATACCGCGCAGGAGGCTCTTCACTGCGAGTGCACCCAGGTCTATGTATGTATATATATATATACATGCAGACAGATACACACATGTCCTTAAGCAACGTGAACCTCGCCAGATCGTAGGTTTCTTTGCGATGGGTCGTTACCTGAAGACGCGTTCCAGCCATCCCACCATGCCCCCTTCTCCTTCTGCTTGTGTCCCCTCCTCTGTCGTCCTTGATTATTCTCATCCACCTCCTGGGCCTGGTCGGCACTGCGGCACTCCTTTCCCCAAATCCCCTCTCCCCAACCCTTCCGACGCTTACCTTTACCCTGCCGTCACTACCAAAAACAATGCGGCGCCAGCGCTACTTGCGTCGGAATGGAAACCTCACCTGGACCTCCAAGCCAGGAGTAGGGCCCCAACACACACTCAGCGAAACTATGACACCGAGCGGCGTTCGGGTCGAATCCCACATGCGACTCTATTCCCGACATGTCACATCTCGGTCAGTGCCCACACCCCAGGCATGATCTGTGCATTGAAATTCCGATGTGCCAACAAAGTTGCCTAGAGCGGCCCCTTGCTTGCGCCTAGGCGGCGGGCTCACACTCCCCGACATTTGCTTTGGCTCAGGGCTGAACCTAAGCGGTGTTTTTCGTTGTCTTTTTGTTTTTCCCTCGTTTTGTCTTCAATCCACCTCTACCGCAAAACGAAGTCGAAACGAAAACGGCCCACGAAATCGCCAAAACACCGTTTAGGTCCAGCCCTGTGCGCTCATGGACGGGGCCGCGGCCGAGGCGCCGAAGTGCCCTTTTGTCCGTGACCTCCGAGACTGCCTATGCCGAGACGCCGCGCTGGGCTTCGGGGTGCCTGGTAAGGATCTTGTTGCGAGCGGCGCAGGGGGAGGAGGGGGAGGAGGGGGAGGAGGAGGAGGAGGAGGAGGAGGAGGAGGAGGAGGAGGAGGAGGAGGAGGAGGAGGGGGAAGAGGGGGAAGAGGGGGAGGGGGAGGAGGAGGAGGAGGAGGAGGAGGAGGAGGAGGAGGAGGGAACGCAGCGCCACGGACGTCAGAGAACAAGTGGCCCCAGGGCTCCTCCTGCGCGTCCAGGCTGGGCACATCGCCGGGACAGCGCCTCACGCCGGTAAAAAGCAGGTCTGTGGCTTTTCTCCAAGGAGGCTTGTCCTTATGGGAGTCCTGGCTCATCATAAGTAGCTGGTCTTCAGGACACCCCTCCTTTACAATGACCCCCCCCCCACCCCTTTCTCCCATGCCCCCCTTTTTCCAATGGCACCTGCTTGCTTGCTCTTGCGTGCTTGCTCTCGGCTGCTTGCTCTTGCCTGCCCTCGCTTGCTTGCACTTGATCGCTGGTTCTCGCTTGCTTGTTATTGCTCGCTTGCGCTTGCTTGTCTGCGCTTGCTTAATGTTGCTCCTCCCGTCCCCATCCCGTCCTGCTCCCGTCCTCCTCGCATCCTCCTCTCGTCCTCCTCCTGTCCTCCAATCTATTTGGAGTCCGCGCTGGCGGATATGCTTGCTCAACAAATCGGGCCCCCTCCCAACCAGACCTCCCATGCCATGCCTTTTGTCGAGCGCCGGCTTCGGAGCTCAGCTCTCGACCCCCTGCGAGGCATTAGTCTGACACGTGTCTCCTCATCGGGAGACATCTCTCGACGGGGTGGAGTCGACAAAGGCGGCAGCAGGGTCTGTGCGGGAAAATTCGAGGCCGCAGCGGGCAGGAGCGGCCTCCTCCTCCCCGTCCTCCTCCTCCTCCTCCTCCTCCTCCTCCTCCTCCTCCTCCTCCTCCTCCCCCTCCTCCCCCTCCTCCTCCTCCTCCTCCTCCTCCTCCTCTCCCTCCTCCTCTCCTCCTCCCCCTCCTCCCTCCTCCTCCTCCTCCTCCTCCTCCTCCTCCTCCTCCTCCTCCTCCTCCTCCTCCCCCTCCTCCTCGTGTGCAGATGGTCAGCACCACCGTCCGTGCCCGGATCCTGCCGTGACGGCGTGAGCTCTGGCCCGCGCCGCGGCGTGCAAGCCCGCTCGAGGCTCGAACGGCCTGCTGCCAGGGGCCGCAGTCGACCCCTGGTGCGGCGGGCCGACCTCCTGCCCCAGACCGCCGACGTCGTGCAGGGCTGAACCTAAACTTTTTTTTCGTTTTCGTTTTCGTTTTCCCTCGCTTTTGTCTCAAATCCGCCTTTACCACAAGACGACGTCGAAACGAAAGCGGCCCACGAAAGGGCCAAAAGCACTGTTTGGGTCCAGCCCTGACGTCGTGCTCATTGTTGGTTGCAACGTCGACCCCCAGGAGGTCTCGACTCCTTCCCCTGGACTTTCGGCTCGGCCTGAGCCCTTCTTTGACAAGGTCCTGGGCTTGGCGAAGGCCCCCAGAGGCCAAACACAGCAACAACAACTGCCGCCGCGTCATTTTGTCACGACGCGAAGGGGGGGGGGTCGCGCATACCCGCCCCGATGCGTAACACGCAATCCGTAGCGTGCTGACACGGAGCTCAACACGTAGGTTGAAAACAGAGGCTTGGCGCGATACCTTCGCCAGAACGTGGACCAACACGCGGAGCCAACACACGGACGTTGAGAGCAAGGTAGGTGCTGTGTACAGTCGACCCGCATCATAAGGATGCACGAAAAGGATGCAAGGGCCTCGGAAGGCGATTTCGAAGCTTCTCGAGGGGGACGCGGCCAACGGAAGTGGACAAGGATGGACCGAGGGGGCCAGGATGCGAGGCTTCAGTCGGGAGTGTCCCCCTACAGGGGGATTTTCGACGAACAAGAAAACATACTCCAAGAATACTCCAAAATGGTCAAACAAATACTCAAACAACAATCCCCAGACTATCTTTTACTATTTTTGAACATTCC